TTACTGCAGCTAAACTGGCCCTCAAACCACAAGACAAAGTCCTTCTTACTCTTTCCTCCTCCTTCCACAGGCTGAGGAGACTCTCCCACAGGCTACCACCACCAGCAGCCCATGGGGAGTTCTGCCAGGCCACTGCCAATGGTCACTTAAAGCACAGAGGCTCTGCAGTCAGCTTGTGGTGAATGCTGCCAGGGCAGCGGGCTCCCCTCTGTCCCAGGCAGGTCTATAAATGCTGTTCAATAGCCTAGGCCTGGTTTCAGGGGCCCCAAGAGCTCACCTGATACTCTGTCTCACTGGGGCCAAGCTAGTACCTAAGCTGGAAGACAAAGTACCCTTTACTTTTCCCTCTGCTTTTCTCAAGCAGAAGGAGTCTTTCACTGTAGCCACCGTAGCTGGGAATGTGCTGCCTCAGACCTGAAGCCAGCATGTCTCAGAGTCTCCCCAAGGCCCATTGCATACTAACTAGGTATCACTCCTGGATCTTTGGGACCCAGGGGCTCTTCAGTAGGTGATAGATCCTGCTGGAACTGAGTCCCTCCCTTCAAGGTAGCAGGTTCCCTTCTGGCCCAGACATATCCAGAAATGTCATCTAGAAGCTAGGGCCTAGAATAGGGCCCTGATGACTGTGCCCAGCGCCCTATTGTACTGTGGCTGAGTTGGTATCCAAAATGCAAGACAGAGTCCTCTTTACTCTTCACTTTCCTCTCTTCAAGCAGAAGGAAGAAGTCACTTTCCTTGCTGTGAGCTGTGCTGCCTGGGGTTGGAGGAGGGGTGGTGCAAGCACTCCCTTAGCCACTCTGCCTGGTCATGGGCTGCCCTAGTCCACTGGCTCTAAGCCCAGCCCAGCACCAAGGCTATCTAGGAATTGCAGTTCTTGTGTCGTAGACTACTTTTCAAGTTTACTTAGGGTCCCAGAGCACTGTAGCCCACGATGGTGAGGCTTGCTGAGAAACTCAAGTTTTGACCACTGGGATGGGCAATTCCTTTCTGGCTAGGGCTGGTCCACATGCTCCCTCTGTGGGCATGCACTGGCTACGCCCAGCATAGCTTTGCTGTCTGCTGTGACTGGGCAGCACTGAGTGCAATGCCAAGTCTCCCATTTGCTGTGCGCTCCCTACTCCAAGTATACAGTTTTTCTCCACACCACACGGCCACTGCTGGAATGGAGGAGGGGTTGGCTTCGGCAATTCAAGGCTGTCTTTCCTACCCTCTTCAGTGCCTCTATCAGCAATATGTAGTAAAACCAGGTACTGTAAGTGCTCACCTGATTTTTAGTTCTTATGACAGTGCTTTTTTGTGTGTAGTTGTTAAAATTTCATGCTCCTGCAGCAGGGACAATCAGTAGAGGCTTCTGTTTAGTCATCTTGCTCCACCCTCCTACTGTTTCAGTGTTAAATGTGAGCAGACAACTAAGGCTCACCAAACATCCAAGGAAAGCCTCCTATATGCATCAAACAAGAGTGCTTGGAGGAGATAAAATATGCATGGGAGAAGAATGTCTCAAAATAAATCCGTCAGTATGCAGGCGGATATAGAGATTCCATTCATGAGAAAGACCAGGTTTCATAAAAATTGGATATTCAGTGAGCAGAAAAGCATTCCTGAAATTTAGAAATAACAAAGCAAAAAGATTGGAAGGTGAAGAACTTTTCCAGAAGATAGGTCAAAATGATAAAAATAGGTAAAATAGGAGAGAAGAATTAAAACTATTAGAGAACCAGCTCAGGAGATCCAATGTTCAACTTACAGGAGTTCCAAATAGAGGAGAGAAAATGTGGTGGAGGAAGTGATAAAATCAAGAAAATTTCACAGATCCGAAGGACATGAATTTGGAGATTGAAAAGGGTCATCTGGTGCCCAACACAATACATGAAAATGCTCTCAGCAAGAGCACAGGGGACAAAGATCCTACAAAGTTTGAAAGGGAAATGAAAAGCAGTTCACATTCAAAAAGAATGAAGCAATGCCTTCAGAATTCTGAAAAAGAATTAGTTTTGACCTTGATTTTTATACTGAAACTATAATGTAAGAGCAAAGGTAAAGTATTCAGACTTGCATAGTCTTTAAAAATTTACCTCACAATCAGCTTTTCTGAGCAAACCACTGGAGGATATGCACCATCTAAACAAGGGAGCAAATAAGAAAAGATATGGGCTGTGTAGGAAATAAGAGATGCCCCACAGGAGGGGCAGGCAGGCAGTCCCAGGGTGAAAGGGGGCCAGAGGCACAGAGGGCAGTCCATCTAGGGTGGGCAGGTCTAAAGACACCAGGAGAAATTTCTTCAAGAAAATGAAGTTGATAGTATAACCCAGGAATATAAAAACCAAGGGAAAATGATGTTTGGCAGGATGTTTTGGGTTTGAATTTGTGTTAAGTATGTAGTGGAAAACTAAGTAAAAGAAATTATTGCTAATTCTCGGGGTGGGAAGAATGTTAAGGAAGGAAGGACAGCTGGTCATAGTTCACTTTGTGGATGAGCATTTTGGTTGTTATAATAACGTAGACATTGAATATCAATCTAGCTAAAATGATCGTCATGGCCAAATTGAGAGAAAGGGAGGAGTGAAGAGGTGTGTGGCTCAGACACTTGCCTCCTCACTTGCCACAGTGGGAATGCTCTACGCAGGACATCCATAAGTTGCAGTAAGAAGACAAATGCCAGAAGAACCAGCTGGACAGCGACTTTTGGGAAAGTGGATTCAGGAGGGAGAAGACATGTGACAGCAAACCCGTGCATGTGTTTGATACTTTGAACTAATGTGCATGTTTTATTTTATAAAGACAGAGTCTTTAAAAAATCACTTAAAATATAGAAAGTATAAAATGAAGTTTATCAGCTATTAAACTAAATTGTACTGAATGCAAGCTCTGTGTTTTGCTAAGTGTAAACGGACTGAATTTGACTGTGAAAGAACAGGTTATCATATTGGATTATTCAACCTGTATTTATCATTTTTGCTAGAAGCATCTATTGCCCTTTCTTTTAGTAGAGAAAGGGCATCTGATTTGGATTTGTGGATTTCCCTGGCTAGATGAGATTGGTGGAACTGCTCATCAAAGTTCTTGGCTCTCCATGAAACCAGCATGTGACTCTAAGCTATGCCATTAGGATGCCTGCTTCCTAGACTGTTATTCCTAATCATAGTGACATACAGACGGAGAGTACTCGGACTGAGTCATCCCAGCTGTTACAATATGAGGAGACTATCCATCTGCTCTGCCACCTGGAACTCCCAGCTGCCCATTTCCTCTACTTTCTTTACTGGAAAATTTTCCTACTGGATCTATCTTCTGAATTCCCTTTCTGTTTTAACTAGTGAGTCTATTTCAGTTGCCTATAGCCAATGAACTCTAACTGATATAGGTTAAACCTCAAGGAAGATTCAGCTGGGTAAGAGAAAAAGAAAGATTAAAATTAAAGGTGTGTGTATAAATGTATGCAAGTAAGCAAGCAAGATAGGTAAAAACAAAAGAAAGTAGAACTTAAAGTCCACAAAACAGAATTTAAGTTGAAAAGCATTAAAAACAAACAGGGTCATTATGAAATTATAAAATATATGATTCATAAGGAAGATGTAACAGTCTAGGATGGGAAAAAAAAGAAAACAACCCCTAGCAAACAGAATCCCCCAGTCTCAGCAGTCAAATACAAATGCTTATTGGAAAAAAAAAAAAAAAAAAAAAAAAAAGACACTCTTAAAAACTGAGAGAACTTAAAGTTCAGTTGTAGTGGGGATTTTAATTTCTCTGTTTTGCAATTTAACAGATAAGATAGAAAGAATGCAAAGATCTGCCATTAGAGAAACAAGCAGGAAATATGAATAGGGAAATTTTAGGTGATAAACATACAGAAATATGTTCAACCACATTTAGGGAAATGCATATTAAAGTAACAATAAGAAAACATTTTTCAACCATTATATTGCTAGCATTCAAGAGTTATATCATCCAGTGCTCAAGAAGATATTGGAAAATAGATACTTTCAAAGCTATTAATAGAAATGTAAATTATTACAATAGTCTATACAGTGTTTTGGGGAAGTAACCTGTAAATGTTCATGCCCTTTGACTCAGCAATCTAAGTTTTGGGAATCTGTCTTACAGAAATAATTATAACCAAAATGTGTTGGATATGCATACAAGAATGTTTATTTCAACACTGTTTATAGTGGCAACAAAGTTGAAAACTTGAATATTTGTAAAGGGAATAATTCTGCATAAAGTTGTAGAACATCTGTATTATGGAATGCTATTCAGCTATCAACTTGGACATGCAATTGACTAGGAAAGCAAATAGCAAAGTAATATGTCTGATTGACCCCATTCATATAAAATATGTAATAAAAACCATGTATATGATAGATATGTATGTATGAATGTGCTTCTGAATGTGAAGGAAGGTATGGGAGCATCAGCCAAGCTGTTCATAATTGTTATTTTAAGAAGGTGAGATGGAGAAAAGGAGATCTTGATTTTTTTCACTTTTTATAGTAAGCCCAATATGTTTTTGTAATTAAGAAAAGATTATTAATAGATCAAATTAGAACTTTACCACGTTAAGAAATTTTCTTGGAAACGTGGTGTTTACTTTTAATATTTTTATTTCAATAGCTTTTGGGGTGCCAGTGGTTTTGGGTGACATAGATGTGTAGTGGTTTATAGTGGTGTAGTCTGAGATTTTAATGCACCCGTCACTGGAGTAGCATACATTGTACCCAATATGTAGTTTTTTTATCCCGTGCCCCCACCCAACCCTCGCCCTTCTGAGTCTCCACAGTCCATTGTATCACTCTGTAGAAACGTGTAGTGTTTAATCAGCAAGAACTTGGAAGTTTTAATTGGTAAATATATGGATGTGCTTTCCTCTGAATCACAGCAGCATTTGTTTTTATTTTCAATTAGCAGGATTTGACGTGTTATTTTATATTTTAATTAAAGGGCTACCTGTTCTATAGTGTTAGGGGTTCTGTTATACTTCTAAATATTTTTGCTTTGAATAGGGCTGTCTTCCTCGGTGGAATACAACGTAATGGAGCTGGAACAAGAACTTGAAAATGTGAAGACTCTTAAGACAAAATTAGGTATTGTACTTTTTTTTTTGTTGACTTATATATTGGTCTTGGTTTCTTATTAAAGACTTTACTGTAGTCGGAAACATTAGAAAATTTATGAAATCTTTGTGTTAAAACTTTCAACCTGTCCCGAATCATTAATAAAGACTATCTTTTAGTTTGGGGAGAGGATAAGTTTATATTTACTGACTTTTTTGTTTTATGTATATACAAAATGACTTTTCAAAGGTTGATGTTCAAAGATGTTACTCCATTACCTTCTCACTTACATTATTTCTGATAAGTCATCTGTCATACTTATCTTTTAATGTGTCTTTTTTCTCTATCTGCTTTTAAGATGTCTTTATTATTGATTTTGAACAATTTGATTGTGATATGCCTTAAAGTAGTTTTCTTCATGTTTATTAGAGCTAGGAGTTTATAGTTTTCAACTAATTTGGAAATATTTTGACCATTACTTCTCCAAATATTTTTTCTTTCCCTTTCATGCTTCCCTTTTCAGGGACTCCAATTACAAGTATTTTAGGCTATAGCTCAAGGATGTTGCTATATTTTTTAGGTTTTGTTTGTTTGTTTTTGCTGTGTTTCATTTTGGTTAGTTTCTATAGCTGTGTCTTCACTTTCACCAATCTTTTCTTCTGCATGTCAAATCTGCCTTTAATCTCATCTAGTGGTTTTTGCCTTTTAGTTTTTCTACAACTGCAGTTTTCATCTCTAGAGGGTCCTTTTGGGCCTGTTTTGTATCTTCTATTATGTCTCTAATTAACACATTCAATCTGTGTCCTCCATCTTTGTGAAAATATAGAGCATAGTTATGACAGCACTTCTAATGTTTTTGTCTGCTACTTCTAATGTTTGTATTAATTCTTGATATGTTTTGATGGATTGATTTTTCTCTTCATAATCAGTAGTATTTTTGTGCTTCTTTGCATGCCTGGGAACTTTTTATTAGAAAATAGACATTTTGAATTTTACCTTGTCAGATGAGATTTTACCTTGTTGGATGCCTCACTTATAGTATTTTTTTTTTTCATTTTTTTATTTTTTGAGACAGAGCCTCACTCTGTTGTCCATGCTGGAGTGCAATGGTGCAGTCTCAATTCACTGCAATCTCCGCCTCCCCAGCTCAAGCAATCCTCCCACCTCAGCCTCCTGAGTAGCTGGGACCACAGGTGCATGCCAGCACAGCTGGCTAATATTTTGTATCTTTTGGTAGAGATGGAGTTTTGCCATGTTGGCCAGGCTGGTCTCAAATTCCTGGACTCAAGTGTTCTGCCCACCTCAGCATCCCAAAGTACTGGGATAATAGGGGTTAGCCATTATCTATAATAGGGGCGACTTACAGTATTTCTGCAAGTGAGGAACTTTGTTCTGGAATGCAGTTAAGTTACTTGGAAACAGTTTGATATTATTGAGTCTTGTTCTGAAGACTTTTTAGACTGGACTAGGGCGTCACTGCACCTAGGGCTAAGTCTTCCCTACTGCTAAGGCAAGACCCTCCTATGAACTCTATCCAGTGTCCTGTGATTGATGAGGTTCTGTACTGTCTTGTGGGAGAAGGAACTATTTTCGCCTTTTGTGACTGTGCTGCTTCCTCTCATATTTTTGGGTGGTTCTTTCTTCAGCCATGGGTTGTTTCTTCACATGCCTGAACCGACATACTTGAGAATTTTTTACTGAATTCTTTACTGAATACTCAAGGGTGACTCTTTGCAGATCCTTGGAGTTCTTTTTCTGTGCTTCAGTCTCCTGTCTGGCACTTTGCTGTGCAGACTCCAGCTGACTTAGTCTCCCCAGATTCCCATTTCATGCTCTCAACTCAAGGGATGAGCTGGGCCCAGCTTGTGTTGCTCCCTCCTACATCATGGCCTGGAAACTCTCAAGACTAAGCTGGGTCAGAAAGGGTTGTGTGGTTTGTTTTCTGTGTCTCAGGCATCATTGTTCTTCCACGAGCAGACGTCCAGTGTCTTGAAAGCTGTTGTTTCATATCTGTGTGCTTTTTGGTTTCTTAATTGTTTCAGGCTGGATGACAAACCTGGTCCCTTGTTGTTTTTGCAGCTTCAGAAGTGGGAGTCCAGTGTTATGTTCTTGAAAATCAGATACGGTGTTCATTTATTTTCATTTCTGTTAATAATATTATGTTACCTGAAGTTACTTCAGTTGTCCTGCAATTGGTGGATATTAGATCTGTTTCTAGTTTTTTGCTTTTATGAATAATGTTGCTATAATCATTCTGGTATGTATCTCTTGGTATATATATTTTTTCAGGGTACATACTAGATATGGAACTGCAAGATCATTGTATATGTGCCTGTGCAACTTTTGCAGATAAAGCCAAATGGTTTTCTCACATAGTTTTATTAATTTGCATTCCTGCTAGGCATGAGTAGGGTTCCTTGTTGCTGCATATCCTTGCCTATACTTGACAATGTTGGACTTTAAAATTTTTACCAACTTAGTTGATGTGAAATGGTGTTTCATTGGTATTTGAATTCATATGTCCCTGATTGTATTTATATTTTTACATTTCTAATGTTCATTTAGCTTCTGTTTGAAAAACACAGGTTTGCTGGCAATAGATTCTCTGAGTGTTTGTTTATTGGAAAACATACTAAAACTTTTTGTTTGGTGTTTTTCAGCATTGTAAAGATGTCATTCTGCCGTCTTCTGGTTTCTGGCTAAAAGTCATGTTGTTTCTTTTTCGGAAGGCTTTAAAGATTTTCCTTTTGTCTTTGTTTAGCAATTTTACTCTGATGTGCTTAGATTTGGTTTTCTTTGGATATTCTTCCTTCTTGAAATCTATGTGTTACTTCATGATTCTGTGGCTTGATGTCTTCTATCTACTTGAGAAAATTCTTGGCCATTATCTTATCAAATATTGCTTCTGCCCAGTCTCTCTTATTTCCTCAGGCCGCAGTTACACATATGCTAGACTTTTTCATTCTTATATTATTTTCTGTATTTATCTCCTTTTTTATCTTCATGCTTCAATCTGTGATATTTTTTACTGGTCTGTCTTCCATTTTGGTTTCTTTCAGCTATGTCATAACTATTGTCATAACTATTGAATTCTTCATTTTAGTTACATAATTTTTTCAGTTCTAGATTTTCCGTTTATTTTTTATAGATTCAAATTTACTTGTAAAATTTTCCATTTGTCATTTATTGTACTGAATATAATCATTTACTTTAAAGCCTCTGTCTGATAAATCCAACATATCCAACATGTGGATCAACTGGAGGTCTGTTTCTGTTTTTTTTTTTTGAGAGAGAGTTTCGCTCTTGTTGTCCAGGCTGTCAATAGCATGATCTTTGCTCACCGCAGTCTCCACTTCCTGGGTTCAAGTGATTCTCCTGCCTCAGTCTCCCAAATAGTGGGATTTCAGGCACCCACCATCATGCCTGGCTAATGTTTCATATTTTTAGTAGAGATGGGGTTTCACCGTATTGGGCAGGCTGGTCTTGAACTTCTGGCCTCAAGTGATCTGCCTGCCTTGGCCTCCCAAAGTGCTGGGATTACAAGCATGAGCCACTACTCCTGGCCTCTTTTTCCTATATCTGGTAATGTTTAATTTAATGCCAGATATTTCTTATAACTGTAGAAACTTTGATGTTTTCTTCTTTTTGGGAGAATTTACTTTTGCTTCTGGAAGACAATTAGAATAGGGATATATCAATCTAATCCGTTAGATCTTGAGATCATTCAAAGCCAGGTTTTGGTCTTTATAAGGACTGGTCTATTTCCACTTTGGCCTTCCTTCATACTAGGGTATAGCTTTTCATTGGTCCTAATTGAAAGCCTGGTTGTCTAGTTATTGACTGTGGCCCCATTTTCTTAATGAATTTTAGTTTTTACCTCTTAAGAAACATGAGCCTGATGAGCTTTGCTTGGCTTCTCAGCCTCATAGTTGCATCTTTCTGTTGTTCTCCTCAGCCTCTTAGCCACTGATGTCTTGAAGGGAAAGTGGCACTGTATGCCAGGCTCACTTCCTTGCCCTTTTCTTTTCTTATGCTCATAGCCTCTCAAATTTTGACTGCATTGGTAGCCCGAAATGCCAGTGTCTGTCTTTTTGGTTCTGTTGAGTTTGCTGAAAGGTTTGCTTTAGAATCATTGCCTTTCACCCATTGATTTCTCAACCTCTCGGGTCCCTGCCATTTATATATTGGGAAATGCATGGCAGTGGAAGGTGTGGTACAAATTGGAGATCTTAGCTCAGTTCACTGCACAGAATATTGGCCCCTCAATTTTCATTTTCTTGGTAGCTCTCTGATGTGTTCATACAGATTTTTAAAAAAATTAAGTTGGATTTATCTTTTCTACTTGTTCTTAGCATGAGGATTGGTGTTGATATAAGAGAGTCCATTGTAGATAAAAGTACTTTGCTTTCAGCCTTTAGAAAACCAGAAGTGTTTATCTTTGGGATATTCAGAACAGAAGGGATTTTTACTCATGTAACTTTATTCATTTGGATATATATCAATATCAATATGTAGATCTATATTAAATGCAAATACCGCAGGTTCTCAGTATTCAAGGGAGACTGGTTTCAGAAGCCCCATGGATACCAAAATCCATATATGATAGAAAAGTATTAAAGAACCTGTGGCTATAGAAGGCCTACTGTATTTCTATATTTTCAAAGGAAGCTGTATATTAACAGTATATTTCCTTAATGATTGAGATGTCTTCACAGAGCTAATTCAAGCATCACAGGATTGAGGTATTTTGAACTGGTTTTAAAACTCTGATTTTTAGCTTATTCTTGAAATCCCAGCACTTTGGGAAGCTGAGGCAGGAGAATCGTTTGAGCTCAGGAGTTGAAGACCAGCCTGGGCAACATAGCAAGACCCTGTCTCTACAAAAAATTAAATAAATAAATTAGCCAGGCATGGTGGCACCTACCTGTATTCCCAGCTACTCGAGTGTTTGAAGTGGGAGGATCACTTGAGCCCAGGAGGTTGCAGTGAGCTGTGGCTGGACCACTTGTGCTCTAGCCTGGGTGACAGAGTGAGGCCCTATGTCTAGTTTTTATAGTTTGTGGGGGAAAATTAAAAGTAATTTATGTTTTTTAAAAAAGAAATTATGTAAAAAAACAGATTATAACATTATGGAATGAAAATGTTAATCTGGAGAAAACTGTTTTGTTTTCCTTTTAATAGAGAGGCGAAAAAAGGCTTCAGCGTGGGAACGAAATTTGGTGTATCCCGCTGTTATGGTTCTCCTTCTTATTGAGACAGTAAGAATTTATTTGCCTAGTTAAATAAAAGCAAATTATATTTTATTTACTTCAGCATTTGAGTATGGCAGCTCCCTCAGCTAAATGGTTTCTAGTAAACTGGTTTTCTATCAACAGGATTCAAATCCATCTATGCCTTTATTTATGAAAACCCAACAAAACAAAAATGGAAATTAATAGCAATTTTTTTTAGAAATTCTGAAGATTATCTGTTTCTTCATGAAAGCAGGAAATTCAGCCTTTTTTATCATTGAAAATTAAAACGACAAGGTGTTGCTGATACCCTGCTTTAAATTCTATGATAAAATATGAAAATTACATTATGAAATTAGTTCCAATAATATTTTACCACTTTTTTAAGTCTATGGAGTTGTGTGTTTCCAATTGGTGAGATTACTTAGTAAAAGGATCTATACTACTAGCTTTTATCACAAGCTTTGAAATTGCAATAACTTACAGAATTTTTTATAATTTCTTCAGTTCTTGTTTGTAGTCTGATCACTTTAGTTTTATATATAGTGTTTTGGTCTTGGCTGCTTTCCCTCTATTTTGAAACACAGTTTTTGGTTACTTAGATTTTAATGTTTTGTATTGGTAAAAAATCTTGAGAGCTGACAGCTTGCTGTTTGTCTTGTAGTCCATCTCGGTCCTCTTGGTGGCTTGTAATATTCTTTGCCTATTGGTTGATGAAACAGCAATGCCAAAAGGAACAAGGGTAATGTAAAATCCTTTAAAATGTCTTTCTTTTGCAAAAGTGTTCTGTGCCTATACCCTGAGTATTTCAAGTAAGCAAATGAAAACATTCAACTTTGTGCATGTATATACTTCAAGTTGTATGAATTTTTTTACGCAAAGAGCCTTCATAAATAAACCGTGATTTTTGTTTCTGATTTTTTACTTTGGATTGACAGGGCCTTTTTTTCAAGTGTTGGAGTTTCCTTTTAGATTTCTTATCAGAGCTTATCTTGATTTTACTGAAATTCATTTAACTATATGAAATTCCTTTAGCCATATTCTTGATTCAGATGCCCCACCCCAGCCTTTCCAGGACCCTGTGCCGGCTGTTACTGCCATTGCTACGTTCAGTTACAGCCTCTCCTCCACGAGTGTAAGCCCCATCATGCCTCAGGTGCCTCATCGTACAGACAGACAGGAAACTATCCTTTCCATGTACAGTCTGATCTTTTTCTTCAGTTCTATACCCAACCCCACTGATAGCACAAGAAGTCACTTACTGTACTGACTTCCTCTTCACTTTTAACCCATTCTAACATACCAAAACAAACTTCAAGCCCCTACTGTTTTGTACCCATCCCCCTTAGTGCTTAGTAGAGAATGACTTGTACGTTATAGGAGCTCGCTGTGTAATTGTGTAAAAAATTAGATCATCTTAATCCTTCCTACATGCCTTCTCTTGAGACAGCGTAATTCCAAAATATTTTCTATGTTGATCAATAAGCTTTGTAGGGGAGAAGTAATATTGTTTCCTAACCTATTGCAAGGTTCATGGATGAGATGCCTATAACAAAAGACATATTAACAAGAGAAAGCTGACAAATTTATTTAAGATAAGTTTTACATATCGCAGGGGTCTTCAGAAATGAAGAAGACCAAAGAAACAGAAAGACCTGTGTATTTTTATGTTCAAGCTTGATGAAGAGTGGACAGTAGTGCGGAAGTATGATTGGAAGATGGGGGTGTGATCTAATGATTATAAACTGGGGGGAATTTAGCAAGGCCTGTTCATATTCTTCTCAGTGTCCTTGTGTCTCCAGAGATAAACTTGTGTCTCTCCTCTGGGTCGGGGTGAGGGCACCTCCAATGGGGGTCTCACGGCCTGCTTCACAGGAGAAGAGGGGCAGATCAGTGTGTGACCTTCTTAGGTTTTCTCAAATACTAAGGCTCCATATTTTGGATTAGTGTGTCCTGAACCCCATCACTTTCTACCAGCATTATTTATTTCTTCTTCAAAAGATTGTCAAAAAGTTATTTATTATTGGGCTGACTGTACGTTGTTAATTATCCCTGGTGCTTCTGTTAGATGTAATTTTTACTGACTAGTAGAAGGTTCAGATAGTTTCCTTTATTAGTAATCTTTGAAAATACTGTTCTTCAGCAGGGAATGACTTTTTCAGAGCTCATTATAAAAATATTAACTTTTTTGTGTTTTTTCTAAAGTTCTAGATATGGTTTTTGAGATAGATATAGTTATTTAGGAAAAAATTTATAGCATTACGTTTTTAAAATCTGTGTTAACAGTTATATCTTTTGTAACTCTGAATTCCCAAGGAAGATTTGGGAAAAAGAAACTATCAGGTATGGAAACAGGATATGCACATTTACTCTCTTTTCTACTGTTAGCTTAATTTTGACATACTTTGTATAATCTTTGTATGTTGCCTCAGGATTCAGATAGCTATATTTCCTATTCTTATTTTTCTATTGTATTTTTAAAGCTCTTTCCCAAAAATATTCAGGATTTATTTTTCCTCAAATAGCCAGTTGCCCCATTTTAAAATAGTAATAAGCATGATCATATATCATCTTGACAAGTAACTTAAATTACATTTGGGGTAAGTAATTTTTCTTGAGCTTGTTAAAATTGTTAACACGGTGCCTGAATTTGTTGATAAAATCAGTCTAATGTCATGTTTTATTGGCCTCTGAAAGTCTAGATGTTGTTTCAAAGTATTAAACATTCCTAATTTCAACTCTTTTATATTTATGAAACAGCTATTTTAGGGAAACCGATATAATGGTGTCATCAAATTCTGAAAAGTGTCTTTCTCTCACTCCAGGGGCCTGGAATAGGAAATGCGTCTCTTTCTACGTTTGGTTTTGTGGGAGCTGCACTTGAAATCATTTTAATTTTGTATCCTTTCTTTAACTGAATGTTCAGCCTATCCACAAATTTTATATCTAGTTTTCTGGGGCAGTGGTTATTTACTAAGACACTTGTCTAGAAGAAAAAACAGATTAGTCTTCCTCAAATACTTAAGATGGCTTGTTTTGTTTTTCTTATGGGTCTTAAGACTTTTTGCAGACTGCTGAGAACTTAAGAAATTTGCATTCTGTTGGAGAGTTTTTTTTCCTTGATTCTCACAGCTATCTTATGGTTTCCTCTGTTGTCGGTTTCTATAGCCTTCGATTTTTTGGAAACTTTACTCCCAAGAAAGATGACACAACTATGACAAAGGTAAGATAGAATCTTAGGTGACTGTGGCCTCTCTCTTGCCTTCCCAGACTGCTCTATTTAATAGTCATCCTGAATGGTTCATTTGCAGTGATAGGTATTTGTTTGTAACATGCGTAAACAAAAACTGGAAGATTTTCAAAATGCTGAGTGAGTGGGAAAGGGATGTACCCTGTTTAGTTTGGATGGCGTCCATTCACTGTCAGTGCGTAGAACCGCAGAGCTTGTTAACTAGCTATAGAGGGCTCCTGAAAGGACTCTTTTTCCTCTAAAGAAAACGTACTGCTAATAAGTAACTTTGATTGTCCTAACTGTACTTCAGGGAGCTTGTTTGAAATCTGAAGAACTTAGTTGCTACAAGTAGTAGAGACAAAGTATTTCAAATTTGAATAATTAAAGTAAGACGGAAGACTTCTATTCAGAAACATTTTGTAGTCTGAGGCTAATTTGACTTTTTCCACAACATGTCATTGGCTTCAGAATAAAAAGGCCGTATATAGTGACTGAATCTAAAATATTCCCATAGGCTGACAAAGAAGAATAACTAATAAGAGCTGCAAGCTTGTTTTGTTTTTACTTTATACTTTTAGCCTATTAAAGGGGAGAAGTTATTTTATACACACACACATGCACGCACGCATGCGCGTGTGCGCACGCACACACACACACACACACACACACAGCTAGTTCTTTAAACTTAATAAGTAGTTGAGATATTTAGTATCTAGTTTAAGTGATCATAAATATTAATCAGTATTTTCAACTCCTCTTATTTACTATGGAAGAATAAACATAGGATACATTATTACAAGAGTTTAGAGGTTTTGGATTTCAGGTGCTTTTAAAATCTTATAATAAGCGTATTAGAAATAGATGTGATAGAAGAGATCTTAAGCAATAATCTGGCTTTAAAAATGTAGTCAGAAATATCCAATATGTTAATTATTGTTTACTTGACAGGCAGAGCCTTTTGAAACTAGCAACTGCAATCAGTAATGTAAAATGCATTATCTAGGTGTCAAGTAATTTAAGTATTCTATAACTATATTTGTGCTAGGTATTGTAAACATCTTCTAGAACCTACAGATATAACTTGAAATATCTATTTTAAAAGTTTGTTATTCTTTGAAAATTCTATACTAAATAGTATCCTTAAGAAATCGGCAAAGTACACTAGGTAACTAGAATGGACAATAATTTCTCAGAATGTTAATGGGTTTTATTGTCATCCTGCTGTTTAACTGCCCAATGTTCTTTCTCATTTCTCATAACAGATCATTGGAAATTGTGTGTCTATCTTGGTCTTGAGCTCCGCTCTGCCTGTGATGTCAAGAACACTGGGTAAGTTGGAATGAGAAATTTTTACTTAAAAATCCATGTTTTATAAAACACTCTTTACTAAACTTATTTAACTTTTACTTTACAAACTTTTTCAAAAAGATTACCTTTGAAATACAGTGTTTCTTTCTACATCATTTTACACCTTTACTTCTGTACTTTATGTATAGGGCCATACCAAGACAAATACTTTTGTCAAATAAAGACCATTTATTTTATAAACACTTACAAGCCTTCTTTCTCCAAACAATGGGCTGGTTTTTTGTTTTGTTTTGTTTTTACTGACACATTCATAAGTTAGGCGTTTGAGTCCTCTAGTGAGGAAAGTATGTTAAACTAATTTTTCTATAGAAGAGTTTTTGAGCATTTATAATTTAGTGTGGTTTTAAAAATTGAAAATTTGTAAATGATTTTAAGCTGCTTTGTGTCCACGAAATAGAGGTGAAAGCAGTGTAACCTCTGAGAAAATACTTTGATTCAAAGGACACCCTTGAGAGTTTCTACTTGCCTGTCATTCATTCCTGTCATTTTCTTAATGTTTCAGTTTACAGAGAAGTTGATCATCTTTTAAAAGTAAAACAGATTTTCACTTTGTCATTGAAATAGTCGAATAAGTCTTCACTTGGTCGTCTTTTATAAAATGCTATCATAGACTGTATTCTCAGTTCTTCACTAAATATTATTTCAGGCAAAAATTTCTGTTAAGCATTTCTATCTGATTCTCTAGACTTAGGTTTTGACTTAAGAGTTTGACTTAAGAGTGCCCAGAAATGATTGGAAAATTTTGATCATTAAATTTTAGCTACTTGCTCATAACAAAAATTACTAGTAACTTTGAGTTGCTTTTGAGTTAGCTCTCATATTGCCTCCATTATTTATTGAAGACTTACAGATATCAGGAATGCAGGCTGTGCAAAGAAAGTAAACTTTGTAGTTATCTTCATAATTCTTACAAAGGATTTCATGTTTTAATAGCAAATAAAATATACATGTAAGAGGGACCGCTGTTCCATAAACTAATAGAAAACTGGTGTGTGTGATAGTCTTAATTCTGTTGTGTTTGCTTTAAAGGACTTGTTATTGTTTTGACATCTGCTTACGGTGTGTGAATCTTGAAAATGCCAAAAGTATCCTCTTTAGTAACCTGATTTGATATTAAATGTTATCATTTATATTATGACCGTCTATTAAATAATTTCTGTTATATTTCAACCACCCTATCATTTTAACACTTATGAAACTCATTTACTGTACTGTTATTTAAGATTAATTGCTAATCATTAATATATACTGATTTTATGGAAGAAAATTACATGCTGAGTATAGTTTTAATACAAAGAAAACAAACTAATGATAAAGTTTATTTTTTGAAGGCCAACAAATTAAATTCCAGAGGAGTTTGCCATAGAGATAAATAAAAAGAAAAAAAAAAAGAAAGATGGAACAATTAAAATGCAGCTAACAAATGCCTGGACCCAGCTGTCCAAACAGGATTAATGGAGTGCATTAGGGTACAGTGAGTCATGTGGTGCTTTGCAAAATATCAACACGCACTGCATTACATGTTATGCCCAGTGGCATTGAATAGATGAAAAGAAATAAATACGTTAAACAGATTCATAGAGGCTTTTCACAGTATTAAAAAAGCAAATTTCTAGACTAAAAGAAAAAGCTTTATTTTAGCATTATGGGAAATGCAAACTAGAGAGTTACTTTGTAATTCCTCTATTAACCCTTTAGAATTGAGTCTTTGATTTTAAGAAGATAAAATCTAGAGAATTGTCATGAATATTATCCTAGTGTATAACAGGATTTTGATTTGCCAGCTGAAAAGCTTATAAGACTAGAATAGAGGATGTATTTAAACAGCCAAATTCCAAGCTGTGACATTTTTCACTCTTTCTTGTCGCCTCTCTCAAGGAAACCCTGACCCTAGTGTGGTCTCCTTTGCTCCTGTGAAACCAACCAGCAGTGCCCCGTCACTTACAATGAAATGAGAAATGCAGTAACAAGAAAAATCATAGTTTACCTCTATATACATAATTTTTCTATTATTTCAACAATTATTTTAGTGAGGGGTATAAATTTGGTTGTAAATTGAAATACATAGAACCTAGTATAAAAGAAATAATTCGACAGTGTTTTTGCTTCAAAAATGAAAGGTTCAATGGACATGTTTCCTTTTTAAAAACTTGCCTACCGTTACTGTTGTGGCAACACAGGCTTTAGGTTTAAGCACATGGTGTGATATGGCACGTTTATTAAATAATTCCTTTTAAATAGCTTCTTATATTTGAATGAAAAAATTTGTACTAACTAAAAAATCACCCCTAAGTAAATTTTACAAGCATATTACTTGCCACAAAGAATTAAGTTGTGAGAAAAATTTTGACCATGTATTCTTGGTTAAATAGAATTAGTATAATTGATAGTTTTATTTTTCATAGGAAGCACAAAGAATCTGTACTTAAAATTTTTAATTAGAACCCTGAAAAAGTAATGCCATGTAAATTAATATATTTTTCAAATCATTGTTTTGCTGCCTGTTTATACTTAAGTTTTCAGAATCTAAAATTTGGGGCTATTTGAAGTCCATAGTTTTAGTAAACAATTTGCTGTGTAGATTAATAGACTTTCAAGGTGATTAAAGGAGATGTTTGCAAACAAGGTGAAAATAGAACAGGATCAACTGATTATCTATAGATATCCAAACTTCTATGTAATAAAATATTTTAAATGTTGCAGTGAATTTTATAAGAATAGATTCTGTGTGATTGCTGATTGTTCTTTGTTATGCTTAGTCATGAAACAATCGAGAGGTTTTTGTGTTATTCTTTATTTGAATTCTCCTTTAAAGAGGAAAATTTTTCTCAGATGCAAATGATAGTCTTTGAAATGCTTTTAATAGTTTATATTTTAAAATTACTTTTATAGTTATTTTTCATCTTGGAAGCTCTTTCTATAATTTGTAAGTTATGCAGAGTCCAAATACAATTCATTTTTAATGTACTCATGGTAGTAAAACAAAAACACTTACTCTTTCAAATCAGCTTGAATTTATTTTCAGTATTTTCACATATTTCTCATCTGGGCCCCATACAGTCTATTATCCTACAGGAGGTAAAGTAGATTGTTCTCTTTTCCTTCTTGATGAAGGGACCTTGTTTTATAACTGGTCTTTTTTGGAGAGGTCTTTATTTGGGGTTTTGGTAATCCCTACTTACCCTGGGCTTTCTCTCTCCAGCTCTTGTTGTGAAACAGAAATAAACGATGCTTTCACAGAGGCCTAGCAATGACGAATGTGAAATGGAAATATAAATCCATATTCCTAACTATGACATTGATATAAAAATAATTTCAAACCTACATTGAAAATGTCTCACCAAAAATATATGTGATTTAATTATATTCAGATATATTATAGAAAATAATGAATAATATGAATAAACTTTTGGTTGATTACTAATGTTTTTACATCTGAGCAATAAGCTTTTATGTACAGCTGAGATTGTTAAGAATAAAGAATTCCTAAAAATATTTTGTATAAAATGTCTAAAACAGTTAAGAGAGCAGTTAATGATACCACCCTAAAATCTCATCTTTCTTATATCTACAAGATGTGTTTCCTGATATTACACTTCTTTCAGGGCACACACACCTGTCTGAGAAAATGTCTGTGGGTCACCCATATCCAAATTTAGTTACCTGTTGATATTCAGATACTTTAAATTTCCTTTGTTATAAAATAATTTTTATGCAAAAATAATTTCCTTTAGGACCATTTAGCTGGGGGGAACCTCAAGAGGTAATTTGAAAAATGTTACAGTTCAAATGTTATAATTAAAACTAGACAACGATAGTAAGGGTCTAATTTGTCCTCAGAATAAAGACCTCTAACCTCTCTGAGTATTCTTTATTTTTTTCCCCCTGAAACAGCCTCCTTCTGTCACCTAGGCTGGAGTGCAGTGGCGCAGTCATAGCTTACTGCAGCCTCAACTTCCTGGGCTCAAGCAATCCTCCCATCTCAGCCTCCTGAATAGCTAGGACTACAGGCACATGCCACCATACCTGGCTAATTTTTGTATTTTTTTTGCAGAGAGGGGGTTTTGCCATGTTGCCCAGGCTTGTCTCAAATTCCTAGGCTCGAGTGATCTACTTGTCATGGCTTCCCAAAGTGCTGGGATTACAGGCAGAAGCCACATGCTCAGCCTCACTGAGTATTCTTCCTTTCCTCCCTCTTTCCCTCCCTCCCTCCCTCCGTCCTCCCTCACACTCCCAGCCTCACTGAGGATCTCTCCCTCCCTCCCTCCCTTTCTCCTTTCCTTTCCTTTCTTCCGACTTTTCCTTTCTTTCTTCCTTTCTTCCTTTCCCTCCTTCCCTCCCTCCCTTCTCTTCTGTCCCTTCTCTTCCCTCCCCCTTCCCTCCCCTCCCCTCCCTCCTTCCCTCCCTTCCTTCCCTCCTTCCCTCTTTTTCTTTCTCTTTTTCTTTTTTTCTGGGAGTTTTGCTTTTGTTTCCCAGGCTGGAGTGCAATGGCATGATCTCAGCTCATTGCAACCTCGGCCTCCCAGATTTCAGCGACTGTCCTGCCTCAGCCTCCAAAGTAGCTGGGATTACAGGTATTGATCGACTTACTACCTATGCAACTTACGACCACTGGACTTTATGACCACAATCGCTAGCCATGACTGCTCCACGTCTGGCAGCACAAACGTTGCCCAGCTGGGCGCACTACCATCTCCGCGTGCACCATTTCAGCTGTTATCCCAGACTCGGTACAGCAATTTGTGTTTTGTGTCTTGGATATTTTTCATCAAACCCCTCCCAAGGTGTCTACCAAGAGGAAATTGTCTTTGTCTACGCCTCAGCCTGCCAAGAGGGAAAGAAAGGCCATCGATCTCGACACGAACATGAAGGTAATTAAGCAGTACGAAGGAGGAAAGAAAGTGAATGTGATTGCACGTGATACGAAGTTAACACACTCGACTGTGTCGACGATTTTGAAA